CCGCCTGGAACCAGAGCTGTGTGAAAGGACATGGCTCCACTGCTCCTTTTTCCATCTCATTTCCCCCAGAAAAGTCCAAAGGATAGAAAATCCAGTCCTGGCTATGAAAAAACCTTTGTCAACCAGCAAAACCTCCTCCAAGAAGAGTCTTTGGGGAGAGAAAAGGAAGCAAACACCAAATCCTCAGTAGTTCTAGGGCTAGGACAGTTCTCAAGTTCTTCTGGCCACTAGCTCAGTCCAACAGGAAACACTTAAAGTCAGTGGGCACATCCCAAATTATAAACAGGAATAACTCCGTCCCAATTACTTGATTATCCCTTCAATGTAGTAACAGCAGGATAAAATTATGTCTTTTTTTGGTTGCTCAGCAGTTAGAAAAGGTTGGTCTGGGATTATTTACTGAGGTGGAAATCAAAGAAGGCAAAATCCATGTTTAGAAGGAAACTGCAATTCCAACCAGCAAAACTAAGGGAAAAAAAAAAAAACCCAAAACATTTACTTGTTGTCATTTACGACTTAATAAAACATTAGAAATTATTATTGAAAATTATTAAAAACTCTGCAATTACTGTAACAGCATCAACAACCCAGAGCAGCAGCCTCAGGTCGGGTACAACCACTCTGGGCAGTCAGGAAAGGCCAAAATCCAGATAAATGCAGCATTCCAAGGAAACAGCAAATGGGGGAGCTGGGCTGAACCCCTGGGGAAAATGGGCTGGCTGGAAATGAGCAGTGGGAATGAGGAAAACCTCCAAACCTGCTTGGAAGTTTGGGAATGAGGAGTGACCCCAGACCAGGTTTGGGATGGGAGGGACCCCAAATCCCACCCAGTGCCACCCTGCCATGGCAGGGACACCTTCCCCTGTGCCAGGCTGCTCCAGCCCCAGTGTCCAGCCTGGCCTTGGGCACTGCCAGGGATCCAGGGGCAGCCCCAGCTGCTCTGGGAATTCCATCCCAGCCCCTGCCCACCCTGCCAGGGAACAATTCCTCATTGCCCAGATCCCATCCAGCCCTGCCCTCTGGCACTGGCAGCCATTCCCTGGCTCCTGTCCCTCCATGCCTTGTCCCCAGTCCCTCTGCAGCTCTCCTGGAGCCCCTTCAGGCCCTGCCAGGGCTCTGAGCTCTCCCTGGAGCTTCTCCTCTCCAGGGGAGCACCCCCAGCTCTCCCAGCCTGGCTCCAGAGAGGTTCCAGCCCCTCTGGACTCATCCCAACATTCCCACACCTTTCTTGGAGCCCCAGAGCTGGATCATTTTAGGGACAGCAGGATGGAGGGACAGAGGTTTCTGTATCTACAACAGAACCATTTTCCCAAGAATAAAGGACAAATGGGAAACCCCAGGTGCTCCTGACCATGACAACCCTCCCATGCTCCCACCCCACACTGAGTGAGCACAGCAGCAGGAGAGACCATTCCAGAAATGGCAAATAGAAAGTTACAGCAGGCACATCACCAAAAATAACTTGGGGGGAAGTGATGAAAATTACTTCTGAATTACAATGAGCACCCCGTCCTCAAACCAGATTTTTATTGGCATTTGGATGGGTGTAAGGCAAAGAACCAGATGTGAATGCAAAGCCCACAGACCTGGATGCAGAGGAAGCAGCAACTTTTAAACTCAAAAGTGATGCCTGAACTCTTCTGCTCCCAAATCTACCTTTCTTCTTCAAAGAATCTAAATTCTATGATGGATTTTTAAAAATTTTTAACTCATCTTTTAAGATCAAAGGAATTTAGAGAAGAAATTAAACTAAAATCTAAGGAATACAACTCTATAAATACCAACTCACAGTTAAATTAAAACATCAATCCCAACACTGAATTTAATTCATTTTAGAGAGCTGGAAGTCTTGAGAATTTCTAAAAAGAAGCCTAAAAATGTGCCTTTTAAATCTAAAATAAACAGCAACCAAATCCTCCATGATTTAGGGTCACTTCAATGGTTTAAATAGTAGAAATAGTTAAAGTAACAATTGGCCAAAATGTCACAGAAGGGTTGGAAGGGATTTTAGGGATTATCCAGTGCCAAGGGCAGGGACACCTTCCATTGTTCCAGGCTGCTCCAAGCCCTGTCCAACCTGGCCTTGAGCACTGCCAGGGATGGAGAGTCCTCAGCCTTCCAGGCAGAATCAATTCAGAATCAGTTAAACCTCAGAATTAATTAAACACCTTCCTTGAAACTCCAGAAACTTCAATTCCTCTTCCAATCTCAACATTCTAATAAAGGCTTCAAAGTAACACTGCAAAGTTCTCCTTATCAGGAACTTGCTGAGAAAAAGCTCCCCAGGAACTCCAAGTTGTGTTCCTGCCATGACTTTTGATGTGAATATATTTCATCAAGTTTACTTTTCATCAAGTATGTTCATTAAGCTTAATTAAGAGTGGAAAGGAAAAATAATGAAATCCAAACAAAAAAAGACATGGAGGGAATATCTTCCCTTCTTCCTCATTCTTCCAGAGTTTTACAGACTGGGCACGGCACCACAGGGGATGGGATGTCCCCATGGTCAGCTGGGGTCCCTGTTCCAGCTCTGGAAAGAGCTGGAGTGGAAAATCAGCCAATTTTCCAGAATTAGAGAATCCCAAAATCCCTGGTGCTGGCACAGCCCTCCCAGCCCAGGCAGTGCCAGCTGTGCCCCATGGCCACCTTGTCCCCAGCCCAGAGCACTCAGTGCCACCCCCAGGGGACACCTGCAGGGATGGGCACTGCAAAGCTCCCTGGGCAGCCCCTGCCAAGGCCTGAGCACCCTTTCCATGGGCAAATTCCTGCTGCTGTCCCAGCTGAGCCTGCCCTGGCCCAGCCTGAGGCCGTTCCCTCTGCTCCTGTCCCTGTTCCCTGGAGCAGAGCCCGACCCCCCCGGCTGTCCCCTCCTGGCAGGGACTTGTGCAGAGCCACAAGGGCCCCTGAGCCTCCTGTGCTCCAGGCTCAGCCCCTTCCCAGCTCCTCAGCAATTCTCCAGCCCCTTCCCAGCTCCTCAGCAATTCTCCAGGGGCAAATTCCTGCTGCTGTCCCAGCTGAGCCTGCCCTGGCCCAGCCTGAGGCCGTTCCCTCTGCTCCTGTCCCTGTTCCCTGGAGCAGAGCCCGACCCCCCCCGGCTGTCCCCTCCTGGCAGGGACTTGTGCAGAGCCACAAGGGCCCCCTGAGCCTCCTTTGCTCCAGGCTCAGCCCCTTCCCACCTTCCCAGCCCCTCAGCAATTCTCCAGCCCCTTCCCAGCTCCGTTCCCTGCCCTGGACACGCTCCAGCCCCTCCAGGTCTCTCCTGCAGGACCAGAACTGGGCACAGCCCTCGAGGGGTCTCAGCACAGAGGGACAATCCCTGCCCTGCTCCTGCTGGACACACAATTCCTCAGCCAGCCCAGCTGCCAGTGGCCTCTTGCCCCACCCAGACTGGTCTATGACATCTGTCCCTTCCAGGAGAGGAATTTTCAGGGATCAGAGCCGGCTCTGGACATGCAGCTCTTCCTCCCATGCTGCACATCCTCACTGCTGCTCCAGGACAAAGAGCTGGGACAAAGACAAAGCTGAACACAGTGAGTAAAAACCTTCCACAGCACTTTTTGAGGACCACAGCTGTAATTTTTAAATCCCCCTGCTTCTGCAGAACATCCTAGGTTCTGGAGCAGAAGAAGGTTTAAGGTGGAAGTCACAATGTTTTCACCATGTGAAGAGGGAATCTTGCCAATTCCTTGCTCAAATTCTGCCAGATAAATCCTGGGATACACAAAACTATCTCACAACAGGAGTCAGGTAAATACTAAAAATCACTGCTGACAAAGGGTTAAAATCATAAATTATCTTCCATCACTCTTCCAACACCTCAGAAATAAAGCCCAAAACACCCAAAAAGCAAATCCCTGAGTACAACCTGATTAAAGTGAGAAGGACCAGAGGTGAAACCTCCTGGCTCGTTCCCTTTCCCAGCACCAGAACATCCACAGGGAAACTGAGGCAGCCCCAACCCAGGAAGAGAATTCCCTGCAGGAAAAGTCCTCATTGCCACCATCTCTGTGGGATTTTCCACACAAATCCTGCCCAGAACCCCCACAGCCAGGGCAACCCAAAACCCCAAAGAGCAGGAAACTGGGGAGTGAGGCTTGGCCAACACAAACAGAACCAGCTGGTGACAAAGAGGCTGCTTGAACCTCTTTGAGAATCACTGACCTGGAAAGCTGCTCACTGAGTAAACACCTAATAAACTAATTATGGAACTGGCTAATTAATAGTTAACTCATGAAAACGCTCCCTCCTGGAAAACAAATCCAAACCAAGTCTGTAAGGCAGGAAAATGCTTATTTTTCATCCCAAATGCAAAGTTTCCTCTCAAAAAATGTTTCTTATCCACCCCTTGAAAGAAACAACAGCAAAATTTATATTTTTCTTTTACATCACGGCAGCAAAAGAAGAGAATAAATGAAAAATTTGGGTTGTTTTGTCTGCAGCTGAAATTCTGGGTTTAACAGCCTTGCCACGTTTTTTGCCAAGCTCCCATCTCCAGAGGAACCTGAATCCCTAATTTAACACCTGCTCCTGCTGAACCACCAACACTGGACAAGGAATTCATGATTCCCAAGTTCATCATGTCCTTATGGGGGGGACAGGGATGAGGAGAAGGCAGTGGGAGATTCAGGACTCTGCTCACAGAACGTGCTGATGTTTTAACTCCAGAATCAGTAAGAAGTTGCTGGTCCTACTCAAGAACTGCTTAAGCAGCAGCTGAACAGGATATTTAAAGATAAAACAACAGAAAAAAAAAGGAATTTTGCACAATATCCAAGCAGATTCCTGAGCTAAAGGGGAGGTTCACTCCTGTTCTGTGCCCTGAGCCCAGCCCAGCCCCACCTCCCAAAACCAGAGCCCAAACTCAGGATTTGGGATCCTGGAGTTTTCCTTGCAGTCTCAAAGAACCCAGTTTGGCTTTGCCCTTGGAATAAACAGGAATCATCTTTACCTACAGGGACGCAAGGCTTACTGAGAGTAAAATACTCCAAAAATCTCTGTTCTGGTGGGTTGGTCGGTTTGGGTTTTTTTGGTTTTTTTTTTTTTTTTTTCTCTATTTTTATTGAAACTTTGTACAGAAGTTTGAAACATTTCCATACAATACTTTGAGACAGGACAAAATGCCATGGTAAAGGAATGTAAACTGCAAGAAACACAGTCTGAAAGTATCCAAATACTCTCTAATAAGAGTTTTAGTTTGAAGACTAATGCAGGAGGCAAAATAAAATGCATACAGTATACAAAGAACAGTATACACAGGGCCAGCAATGCTAACTATGAAAATTTTGCATCAGATTTACTTCAAAGATTGATAGCAATATGATAATTCTATACACTAGACCAAAATTAATTTATCATACATCGTTTCTATGACAAAAAGCTTGTCATTAAGGACAGTAGCAACTTACAATATAATTAAGCTGTATTAATCTCATTAACACTTCTAAATCTATATTCCTACTACAGTAAAGGTTTTTTTTTTTCAGCATATTGTCTTATAAGATCTTAACAGACCTTTAAATAACACTTTACCAAAAGAGACCTGGATCCATTATAGTGATCTTATCTACATGCCCATTTGGCTTATTTCCAAAAAAACAACCAAGGGACAAGGAAAAAGGCAGGTTTCAAATGCTATATGATATCATTTGGTTTTGGTCTGAAATGTATTTTAGAGAGTTAAAAAAAAAAAACCAACAGAAAAAAGGCAGTTCATTAACTGGTATTTTATATAAAATCTGCAGAAAAATACAACAGCAACAAAACCCAAAAATACTTCACAGATATCTAAAAAAACATTTTTTTTCTCAGAGATACAAGGTAAAGCAGCATCACTTTGACACTGTGCTTTAAAAAAGAAGATGATGAATGAAGAGACTGCTCGAGTGAGATTAGAAAATTTTGCTTTCTTCTTGAAGAAGACTACTAACATTTTGCACAGCAACTATTTTTATAACCACCTCATTTTAAAAGCGTGAATTCCTAGACACAGAATTGTCATTTCACCGCCAGTTTTGCTCAAAGTGTCTGACTTTACACAGTGGAACTGAGAATGCCAAGTGTCACCAGATGTCACTATACCATGAGTTCAAGATTGGAACAGAAGTGAAGCAAATGCCTTGAAACCAACACCAGGAAAGAAATCAAAGAGAAAGTGTTTTGTAAACAAAACAAAACCACTTTGCAAGAAAAACCAAAGAAACCAAAAAAAAAAATAAAAACAAGAGTTCAGAGATGTCACAGTGAAATCAGAAATTCTAATTATATATGTTTTACATTCTAGGACTACACTCTTTACCTTAGGCCAATTAAAGCACATTAAACCATTTAATTATATACAAACATTTTCTTTAAAAAACAAATCAAAAAAAAAAATTAAAACATTGCACAGAAGTCTGCTTTTAACATCACATAACAAGGTTAGTTTTATTTTCAAAACAATTACATTTAAGGGCACAGAACATACAGAATACCAAATTAACAGATGAGTAATTTTGCTTCTCTGTACATGCTAAATCCAAAGATTTCCTTGAGAAAGCTGGAGCTTGGCAACTCCAGCTTCTTCCATGTCTGTGTTCTCTGAAAGGGAGCAATTCCCAACACCTCCTCTATCTCAGGATTTAAAAAAATAGATATATAAAAAAAATAAAGCTGTTTTAAAGTTGTAAGCATCTTTTAAGTGCTGGCAGAGCTCCCTGGGTGGCTCTGCCCCCTCCACTGTAACCTCGTGGAAATAAATCCTTTTCTCTCCTCGGTTACAGGGCTCATGACTCTCATCAGAAGTCTCATCCTGGCCCTTCTGGGATCAGGGAACACACAAGTGGAGAAGTAAAAAATACACAATATAAGGAATATACTGAAGGCCATTTTTATTTCTTACAATCTCGCACGGATTTCTTGCCCTAAAAGCTAAACAGGAAAAATTATTTAAAAAAAAAAAAATTAAACAACAAAAAAAACCTCTAAACTTTGGCAGAGAATAGCATCAAATCAGCCATTTAAAAAAAACTTAAATAAAAACAGTCTCCCAAAATGTACTATTAAACTCTCAAGAAGCCTCTTCTTTTTTATTTTTTTTTTTTATTTTATTTTTTTAAATAAAAGGCTTCTACCATTTCCAGGAGCAAAATTCAAATACCTTACCAGAAAAAAATAAGTTAAGGGAAATAAAAAGAAGAAAAAAAGCTGTCATTCCAAACTCAGTTTTCCAAAACCTGTCATCCTAAGCTCAAGGCAATAATAAATAAACCCATTGCTGCAAGACAGAAGCACAACCAGCCCCACCCAGAGGAAAGGGGCCAGACAACAAAATTCCATTGTGGGAAACACTCTGTGGTTCTGCTGGACCAAAAAATGGGTGTTTAACCCCAAATTTATCAACTTCCCCCCTCAGCAAAGGCTTGTTTACGCTATAAAAAATCCCTTCTCCTACACAAGGTCCTTCTTGCCAGCAGGCAGCTTTGCTTGGAACCTTAGGAATATCTTTATTTATTAATAAAGGCCTTTTATTAAGTGGTTTTATGCAGCAAAGAGCATCAGCGACTTCCAGGATCACTACGACACAATGAGGCTGAAGAGGAGCACACAAAACACCTCGGAAACACCTGAAGAGAAAAAGCACTGGAGGAAAAAAAAAAATCTGCTTAAAAGCATCACAATTCCAGGTCCGAAGATGGGGTGGGGAGGCAGATTAATAACCCATGATGATCCTGCCTGCCAATTAGCAGTGTGATTAATGTGGCAGCTCGTTAGTGTAGCAAAAGGGAGAACAAACCAAGTGGGAGATGGAGCACCTCGGGCTCCGCAGTGCAGTCCTGAAGGACTTAACTCCCTTCCACGGCCAAGGACGAGCTCCTCACGGATCTGACCGAGCAGGACACTGGAATTCTGCCTGTTGACTCTTCCAAGTGTCCTCTTGGAGGAGAGAATGGCTCGGGGAGGGGCGGAGGGATGGAAGCAGCAGGGAGAAGCCGGTGGAAGAAGCGCCGGGAGCGCCTCCTCCAGCCGCGCCTTCGGCCGCCCGCCCGCCCGCGTAAGGCACCCTGGGGACAGCACAGGGGGGATGGAGCCGAGCCAGAGGGTCCCTGAGCTAACCTGGCTCCCCAGGCGGTGGCAAAGCGCTGGGCATCGAGGAGCAGCCTGGAAAATCCCAGTGCCAGCGCTGCTCCAAAATCGCGCCGAGCTCCGGACGGACACGAGTCTCCTTCCCTGGGCCAAACCAGGTGTTGGAGCCACATCCCAGCCTTCTCAGGAGGGTATTGTTGGACTGAGAATTATCTTTACCTTCTACAATTTATTTTTCATCCCGCTACGATCAAATGTTGCCCTAAATGATTTTATCCTGTATGGAAACGATTCCCTACGTTTTTACATCAAAGCATCCTTCACAGCTCAGCCCACTCATGAAGCAACTTGACATGTCATTAATTTCACACACCTGGATTTCGCCCTTAAAAAGGATTCAAAATGTTTTTCCAATCCAAGCTGTGGCCACACAAATGATAAGAAAACGTGTCTTGTCCCATTGGTCGCAACATCAACACCACGTACGGTGACTCCTCTTCTCTACAAATATTGCAACAACACTCCAAGTCTTCCACTTTGGAGTAGTTCTACTTCCTAGCAGCAACAACTAAACCATGTGGAGAAAAGTGGGGCACAGCTCAGCCTCTGGTCAAAGTTTTGGAATGAATGAGATTCAAGTGATATTAAAACACCACCAAAACAAACAAAACCATCCCAAAAATAGAAGTGAATAATTTTATCTGAAAATATGTGTTGGGAATTATCTGCTAGAAGCCATGTGGATGGCACCAGTGGAAAAACAAACTTTCTCCAGCAGGCAAAGGCAGGATTGACCCAAATCTCATCTCTAGAAAACGGTTTTCCCCACAGGAATTGGTTCTTGTTTGTGTGCCAAGGAAATGGTGCTGGACCCCTGAAGTGGTTTTGGTGAACGCTCACAATGGTCCCTCAGCCCGATTTTGGCCCAGCCAGTTCGTGCTCTCCTGAATGAGCTCAGGAGCAAAGACAACTGGAGGAATTATTTCCACGGAAAGCCTGGATATGACCACTCTGTCCTGGAGAGGGAAGATCTGGTGGGCTCTGCTCCCAAAAGCAGCACCCAGGTGGGCTTGGGGAAGCATGAGAGCACCAAGCTGCTGCACACACATCCTCCACACCTGGGAACTGCTCATCCCTGCCTGGGCATCCATCCTTCAGGAGGAAACATCCTCTGGATTCTGGAGACCTACAAATAGCTGTGACTGCCTGGGAGGAATTCAGGTTTTTGGAAAAATCCTGAGCACAGGACAGACCTCGATTGCCGACACAGATTTGCGGCTGCACGCGCTCCCTGTCTCCTGACACCGCATCCCTCAGGAACCTTCTGAGGATGGAGGGAGGGAGGGAAGGAGGGAATTTCTTCACACAAAGGTCACTCACGGCAAGGGGCTGCCCAGGGAGCTGGTGGAGTGCCCAGCCCTGGAGGAGTCCAAGGAATGTGGCACTCTGGGCTGGGTGACGAGGTGGGGCTTGGGCACAGCTGGAACTCAATGACCAGGGAGGGCTTTTCCAAACTCAGGGATTCTGGGATTCCTCAAAATACAAAAAGGAAGTTTGACAGGGTGAAAGGGCAAGTGGGAGAAGACGTGGGGAAAAGGACTCTGGAAAACAAGGAGCACTTTCACCTCTCTCTCCCATTTCCCCTTCCTTGCCTTCCCAGTTGTTCTCCCCCTGCAGCATCAGGGCTTCCTCCTCTTCCTCCTCTGGGATTCCTCCCAGACACAGCAGAGGAAAACCCTTCTGCAGGATGAAGAACAGTATTTCAAGACATGCAAAGCCTCATGGTTCTCTTTTTCCCATATGGTAGAACCTACAAACAGTTTTTTCCCTAAAAGGAAGCCAATCCTAACAATGTCCTAAAGGTTCAGAGTGTGGAGAGGCTGAATGAATCTTTTTGGCCATTTACTGAAACTCAAGAAATTCCACCCAAACCTGAGGAAAAATTTCTTTCCATGGAGGTCACAGAGCCCTGGAACATCTGCCCAGGGACATCCCAAACACACCCCAAGAATCTGTGATTCTTCAATCTCAATATAATACAAAACCCCACAGAAAGAATATTTCTTTTTTGTCCTCCTCCATTGACAGTTTGTCATCTCCAGGCTTATTTTTGTTTTAGTTTTTTCTCTTTTTTTCTTTTTTTTTTTTTAATATAGAAACTTTTTTCAGTAATGGAATTTACAGTGGATAAAAATCAAAAGACAAGAATTTCTTTACAAAGAGTAAAAAAAAAGGCAGAAAGCTGCTAAGAGCCATCATGTTTTAAGTGCTATAAAATGAGACAAAACAGCTTCCTGTTGTTGCCAGAAGAAAAATGAGAAACTGAAAAAAGAAAAAAAGCAGTGAGTGCAATTAAAAAGTGCTAAGTTGGCCAAGGTAATACAGCTATTTTATAAATGTGCATCACAGCTCTGCATTTAAAAATCTTTTGACACAGCTTTAATCACTCAGATTTTACACACTGGTAACTGATTACCTGTTATCTTCACTTTATGCTGACTGAGCTGTAACTGCCTGACTTCAAACATAGCCACCTGCCTGCCTTTGGTATATTTATACACAGAAAAACAAAAGGTTAGTGCTGCAAATGGAAAGAAAAAAAAAAAAAAACCAACACAAAAGGGAAAAAAGAAAAAGCCACCACAGGACAGGTTCTGCTTTCAGCAGAGGGAGGACAACACATCTCAAATGGTCTCAAAATAGGCTAAAGCTGAGTTGATCTTACAATTATAGCGTAAACAATGCCTGGGTCGTGGTTATGTTGTTTGAAAAGAAAAGAAAGGAAAAACCAAAAATCTCCAGAGACCTGTATCAACTTCTGTATGTTTAAGCCATACCCTTAAAAGTTCACTATTCACTCACAAAGAGAAGTAGACAAACATGAAGATTCCAAGCGAACAGACACAGACCAGTCCAGTATTTAGTAATAGTTTAACTTTTGGAGTCTCTTCCAGCATTTGTAAACAAACAGTCTCCTCCTCGACCTCCCGAACCACTCTCTTGTTTACGTTTTTACTTTTAAAGCCACAGAACCAATCTATGAATTTCAAATGTCTCGCCCTGTTGTCAGTCCCCTCCTCCTCCTCGTGCTTTTTCTCCCCCATCAGGGCGGCCTGTCCGTTGGAGTAACAATCCACGGGCGTCTCCACCTCGGAGTGGCTCACCGAGATCACCGGGTTGCTGTCATCCCTGCACGTCACCAGGAGGTTGATGTCCTCCGGCTTCACGTTTTTAATGTTCTCCTCCGACTTCCCGTTGGGAATGATGTGGTTGGCGTTCTCGTTGCACTTGAGGATGCTCTTCTCCTGCGCCTGGTACAGCTCCCCCTTGCCGGCGCTCTCCGGCGCGCCGCGCTTCCACAGGGCCCAGAACGTGGTGGTCCGGACCTGCTCCTTGGTGGGCGGCGGCGTGAGCAGGCTCACCACGACCGTCACGGCCCCGGTGATCCAGAACAGGGCCGTGGCCACGTACATGTAATGGATGTTCTTGATGAAGCCGGGCCTGGTGTCCGGCTGGTCGCACTCGGGAGCGCGGTAGAAGAAGGCCAGGATCAACCGGATGGCGCCCAGGACAAACCCGGCCATGCCGCCGTAGAAAGCCCCCTGCTCGTTGCAACGCTTCCAGAAGATGGCCATGAGGAACAGGGCGGCCACCGGCGGGGTCAGGTAATCCGCGACCTCCTGGATGTACAGGTACATCTGCCCGCCCTGCATCTCCACGATGATGGGCACCCAGGCGATGCTGATCACCACCATGAAGGCCACGAAGACCCTGCCCACGATCATGAGCTCCCGGGAGGTCGCGCTCTTCCGGATGAGCTTGTAGACGTCGAGCGTGAAGATGGTGCTGGCGCTGTTGAAGATGGAGTCCAGGTCGCTCATCAGGGCGGCGATCATCACGGCCATCATGAGCCCGCGCAGCCCCACGGGCACCAGGTTCATCACCAGGCGCGGGTAGGCGATGTTGGAGCAGCCGGCCCTGCTCCCGCACACCTGGAAGCAGTGCTCGGGGTTGATGCAGGCGATGTCATCCACAAACAGGATGCGGGAGATCATCCCCGGCACCACGATGATGAACATGGGCAGCAGCTTCAAGAAGCCGGCCATGAGGGTGGAGCCTTTGGCGTGAGCGATGTTTTTGGCGGCCAGAACTCTCTGCACTATGACTTGGTCAGCGCACCAGTACCACACTGAGGCCGGGGTTTGTCCCAGCAGAAATCCAGGCCAGGGAATGTCTTCGTCCGTCGGCTCACGCAGCATTTTGAGAGAGTCGGGCTTTGGACTGACGTTGCAGGAATTGGTGTTGGAGATGTTGTAGGTTAGGAGGATGGAGGTGATGTTTGGTGACGCCAACATGTACCTCCTTTTCACTTCTTCAAACCCACCGACCTCCATGAGGCTTATGATCATGAGTGTGAGGGCCCCAATGATCATAAGCAGCGCCTGGAGGGTGTCCGTGTAGATGACGGCCACCAGCCCTCCGGTCACAGTCAACAGCGCCGTCATTCCGATCAGCAGGATCACCGACAGGTAGAGGTTCCACCCTAGGGACTCTTGGATAAAAAGCGCCCCTGAATACAAGTCAACCGAGAGTTTGGTGAAGATATAAAGAAGTAGAGACAACGCTGCAAAATAGATTTGAATCCTATGCCCTCCAAACCGCTTGGACAAGTATTCAGGCATGGTGTACACTCCCGACCGGATGTAGACTGGCACGAAGACCCATCCCAAAAGCTGCAAAAGCATTAAGGCGTTGAACTCCCACGCGCCTACGGCGAATCCACTCGCCGCTCCAGATCCTGCGAGCCCAATGAAATGTTCACTTCCAATATTGCTCACAAATAACGAGGCCCCGATAGCTACCCAGGTCATAGAACGCCCTGCCAAAAAGTAGCCACTCACGGTGCTCCGATTGTTTTTCCACATGGCAAAGAAACCTATGCACATTACAAGCACGAAGTACAGGGCCACAATGGCAATGTCTGCTGGCTCCAAAGAAGCCCTCATTTTGTAACCAAAAAGCCTTCGCTGACGTCCACTTCTCGCCCCCCAGCCAACGTCTCTTAAGCACCACGTGAACCAGTTTTAACCAAAATCAACACAGCGGGTCAAATTCTTTGTCCCTTGGTTTGCTGTCCTGATGCTGGTGGCAGTGGTACATTTACTTTTCTCCGCTTCTCAAATTTGGGAACTTAGCACGCACTTTTAATCCACATTCCACAAGAGCATCAGCCTTAACTCAGTTGATGTAGGAGAAATTCTTAGTTGCAGCTAAGTTTAGTGAGGCCTACTGTACCAACCCTGCAAGGCAGCAAAGACAAAAGACAAAGATTGAATTAGAGAGGAATTTCATGAAGTAATGAGAAAAAATTTGAAGTGTAGTAAAACAAATCACTGAACACCACAGATTTTTCCCCCTTTATATTTCCTGCAATCCATAACAGACATCATTCAATATTTGTAGGGCTAAGTGGTAAAAGCCTTTCACAAGTCAACTTCAGTGGTTACAGGTACCTTCAGAGACGCAGCGATTCGGGAGGATTGAGTGACCCAAATTCCCCAGAACACAGCAAGCAACAAAAATACATTTTCTTTTTCTTTGCTCTGGTGTCTCACAAGTCTCCTTCTCAAGCCACTAACCAGATCTTCCTCTTCCAAGCAATCTTAGGAAAATTAAATAGCCCAACAAATAACAATGGCTATGGAGCCCAAACCTGGCTCAGCATTTCCTGCACTGCACCCCCCAAATCCTGGGAGATCCTGGCACTACAGGAAAGCACCTGAGACACCAGCTGGCTGCTAGAAAAATCAAAGTGAGATCACAGCGCTGTCAAAAATCAACATCCATTTCAATCAACATCAGCTGGAGAATCAAGGTTATTCCGCAGGTTTTGAGGTGAGTTTGCTCCTGTCTGGGGTACAGATAATCACAGGGTTATTTTTCACTGGGAAAGCTCTCCATACACATCCACGTCATCCAAGGGGAGAAAACATCCCATTCCAGCAAGTGGCAGAAACAAAATTCCACCTGACATCCCACTTTAGGGCCAGTGCCTTTGGATACCCTCACCTGGGGTTTTGTGGGAGCACCAGAGGCACAAGAGGGAACACCAGGCAGGTTCTGGCAGCAGTCACAGCTGGAAGGATGCCAGGAAATGCCCTTCCAGCATCCATTCCCATCCCAGCATGGAGAGGTGGAAGGTATGGAGGCAAAGCTTTCCCAAATTCCCAATCCCACCTGACAGATCCCAAACACATCAGGAAACAAAACCCATTTTGGCAAGCAGGACCAAAGCATTGGAAGTGGAGGGAAGGGGACAATGAAGACTTGGTGGCAGAGGAAGGGGCACTGAGGAGATGCATGGTGGCTCCCTCATGGATTTGGGATGTGCTCCCATCTCCTGTTTATGCCTCGGGAGGTACCACAGAATCATGGAATGGTTTGGGATGGAGGCATCTGAAAGCCCACCCAGTGCCACCCCTGCCATGGCAGGGACACCTTCCCCTGTGCCAGGCTGCTCCAGCCCCAGTGTCCAGCCTGCCCTTGGGCACTGCCAGGGATCCAGGGGCAGCCCCAGCTGCTCTGGGCACCCTGTGCCAGGGCCTGCCCACCCTCTACCAGCCCAAAGGCTTCTAATGGGTTTAGAGAGCTGGACACGGAATTCTTCCAGTTCCTACACCCAATGGCCATGGGAAGGGAAGACCAAAGCAAGGAACAGGTTTAGTCTAAAGATCAGAACACAAACCTTCAGTAGCAATAATGAGATTATTACAGAAGGTGAGGAGCAGGGTCTGACTCCACTCCTCTTTCCCACCCACTGGTAAAAGCACAAGAAAACCAACTCTGGGTCTTTTTTCTGGCCATAAAATCTCAACAAGTCCTACAAGCATCAGCTCCAGGCATCCCCTTGCAGTTCTTTCTCTGGCACGAGGCTGAAGCTCACATTTCCCCATTATTTAATCATTAATACAAATAGCCTGATAGCATATTCTAATATTTGGTTGGTTTCTTGTTGAGCATCCCTGCCATATACTGGGTTTGTTTAAAGGGTCAATAAAACCATTTCAAATTCCAAGAGAGTTAAGGTTGAAAATGCACACGTTGTGTTAAAGGCAGCAATGGTGCTGAGGTAAAAACATGCACTCCTCACAGATTTTAAAATTAGCTCCCAGCAAGCCACAACTTCAGCCTTAAGGAGAAATCCACCACTGTGTCATTTATATGGTCCAGCTGTTTTTCCGGAGAAAAATTTAAAAAATAAAAATAATAAGGGTTCCCCCCCAGTACCACAAACCCACTTGAGAATAGAGATATTCCTTCAGCTGGAATTACAGCCAATAATGAGAGACTAAGGAGAATGGCACAAAACGGACTGATTACAGCACTGGGCTAAATTTATCATTCCTCAGAAGCCTCAAACCACAGATGTATTTTCAATTCTTCCACAGAAGAATTCACAATTCTCCCCACCCGCAAATACAGGAGTAGTTAAATGGTCTAATAGCTTAATCCAACCCAAAATTATAAACACTTCACATCAGATGACGCAGTCAGAGCCAAGTTTAATGGACTATTCTTAGTTTTAAGCACTTTGGAGCAACACTTTAATAGTGTTGTGTCTTTTGCTATATTCAGCTAATTTTTCAACTACGTTATGTTTATACCAAAACTATAAATATTTGAAGAGAAAGGGAAGAAGAGATTTTTCTGAGATATGATAAAAAGAAAATCTGCTGTACAGAAAACCAGAAGAACAGCCAGATAAGGAAACTGTAATAATTAATATTTTTATTGTTCTGTTGTCCTTCTCATTACTAAAAAATATTTGATTTTAACTTGAGTTCACCCCCCACCATCTTCCCTGTAGGTTCATCAGTGACCTGTCACAAATATCCTATAGAGCAATATGGAAAAATCACAAAAATATCTGTAAAATCAATTCTATTTGATACCAGAAGTATACAGAGTGTTTCTATAAAGAGAATATTAACAGGGAAGCTGTGGCTGCCCCTGGATCCCTGGGAATATCCAAGGCCAGGCTGGATGGGATAATGGAAGGTGTCCCTGCCCTCGGGGTGGATCTGGATGGGCTCTGAGGTCCCTGGGATTCCAAACCTCCTGTAATTCCAGGATCAGACTCTCTGACAAGTGTGTCAGTATTAGATGCAGCTGCCCTCAAATTGTGACATTCCTCAGTTAAGTCACTTCATCTCCAGGGGACTCATTCCAACCAAAATAAACAAGTGAAGTTTCTGGAGTGTCTTCCACAGGAAGACACAGCCAGACCATGCACCTGAAATAATCCAATTTCGGAGAGCTGAACCCTGCCCTTTGTCACCAACACCTGAGGGTTTTTTGGCAGGGCTCAGTTTGCCTGAGCTGGAAGGTGGAAAGTTTTCAGCAGTCACCACAAATTTGCTGCACTGTCACTAAATTACAGCACTGAAGTAGCTTCTTGTACCAGTTTCTTAGACCTAATTCCAAAATAACCCTGGAACTTTTCTTCATTAGGAAAATGAGACTCGTCCCTCTGAACTTTCAGCAAGTTCTGACCTCAAGTCTTACAAAGGACTTTTGAGATGCCCCATGTGAGTTTAGTCCTGAGTTATTAGAACAGTGAACATTGTGGCACTGACAGAGGGATGAAAAAAAAAAAAAAAAAAGGCAGAAAGACAGTGCTGCTGCCAAGGACTGGGAATTTTCTTCCCTGAGGCTGTTTTCTGGCTGGATCATATCAAAGACACAAAACAATGTGCTTCCCTCTTGTCTGGAAATAGAGGCTGCAGCTCTGGTGAAACAATGCATATGTCTCTCCAACACCCAGCCTGTTCCTTAAGGGAAAAAAAAAAATCCCAAGCAAGTCCCTGAAGAGAGATTTCATAATTTGAAACAGACCCAGGGTGGGATTTTGAGGAGAAATTTGTACGACTGTTCTAAAGGAAAACTTTCTCCACAGTGCTTTTCTAATAAAATGGGTGTTTAAAATATGCCAGAGCCCAACTGCTCCAGCTCTGAAGCCACTATTTCTTCTCAGCTCCGTTGGCTTTTTGGCAGATGGGAAGTGTCTGAGCTGACTTTCCTTTTCTCCTCCCCAGTCCTGACGTTTTAAGGGTTAATTTGGGGATGTAGACACCCACCTATCCCACAGAAAGGTCCACTGTTAGCAAATTAAGTGCTTTGCTCACAGTTTTCAGATTATTTCTTGGGACCAACATTTTCCCTCTCCACCTTCAAGGAGGAGTATTTGAAATCAGCTCTGCAGCACTTCACCTACTGAACAGCTCTGCTGTGTGGAAGAAATCTGTCCAGATTGCAAAGATCATGGAAAATATTAACTCTGCCACAGAAAAAATTAATAAATACTAGAAGTCTCGTGCCTTGAGTGGGGTCTGTACCACGTGCCACCCCCTGAGTGTGTTTTCCAGACCCCTCACTCCTGGCCATGGACACACCAGGGAGTCCCTAGCTGTCCACTGCTCCACAGTAAACAAAAGGAGAAAAATCTGCTAGGGAAAAAAAAAAAGAGTAAAAGCTTTGTTCCATTTACTGCAGCACTCCAGAACACAGAAAAGGAGCACTGAAGCTCTTCGTGGAGTAAGTGATACATAAATTATGTAGCACATGCCCTTGAGGAAGCAGGGGCTATCCTTGGCAGCTGCTCAACAGAGCCCTCAGCATCCAGGGCAGCAGTTCCAGGCTTTTCCCTGAAAACCAGGAGCTGGGGCAGAGGAACGTGCCAGGAACCCCCCTGGGACAGACAGGGAAGGCAGAAGTTGACCTGGAGCACCCAATAAATAACTGGAGCTGCTGGGGATGCCAGGCCAGCCCTGAACTCCAGAGGCTGCAGCAGGAAAGGGCTGAGGGTACCTGAGCCCACCTGCTGAACCTGTTGGTCACACTCTGCATCATCACCACATCTACCTCCTGCTGGTCTGGAGAACTCAGGATAAACCACCACTACCAAAAAAAAAAAAAAATCCAATTTGAGGTGCAAGGAAGGAGTCACTCACTCAAAGGAGTTGTTAGGAACACGTAAGGAACTTTTGTTTTGGTCAGGAATCACTCCAGCTCTGGTCTTCGTTTTACTGCAGCAGCACAAAAAAGCAGCTTGTTCCAGCATAAATTCTTCTGGATTCTTTTCTACACAACTGCTGAGGGAGACATGAGAGAAATAAGTAATCCCAGAGCAAGAGACAGAGAACTCAGTGCCAGGCAGAAATGGGATGTGCAGTGGACAATTACAGAGCAGGAACTGGAGTGATGTGAGGCCAGCTGGAGCTCAAGGGCACTGGGCTGACAC